AAGTGGAAAATAGACCATTCTTAAGCCATGTATTTATTCCTTGACTGGCACTCATGGAGAAAAATAATTTCATTGTCATGCTGTAAATGACTTCGAAGATAACACGCATGGTCCATAAATGCTGTTGGGGTATATTATAACTTAAATCTTAGCAAATACAAAAATAGCAAAGCCACACAGCTTTGTGACATCTTATTGGAGGCTGAAATACTTGCTTTTATTAATTTTTGTAGAACAATTATGCAAGTATAAAATATGATCTTGTACTCCTACCTCTTTTGCTGAAAGTTACAGAAGGATGAATTCCACCCGAGTCACATTCAGTTTATCACACACTGCACAAATACAATTGACATGCAAAAAATAATCCGAAGGTTGGATGACTCCAATATATTTGCTTAATTCAGAAAAGTCTAATTTTAGAGTAATTTTATTTAGGTTTAATGTTAATTGAACAGAAATGACATTACCACATTTGAATGTAGGTCCTCATAAATGCACATTGTTGTTAATGATTGAGATTTCCATTTTCTTTATAAAGTTTGAATACCAATTGTTCTATTCCAGTGGTTCCAAATCATGCAGCGACCTGCTATTTGAATTCACCCCCAGTGCAGTGTAGTGTGTTTACCTAATTTCAACTCAACCATTAAGTAAACATTTGGCAAGAGAATTTATTAAAACTTATCCTGTGGAATTTTCTAGGCAGAGGGTGGACAAGGAATTTAATTCAGAGGGAGGAAAACATTCTGTTTCCTGATGGCAGGCTAAAGTTTTGCTATTAAATTCCCAAAATCTTCTGGGTGTGGTGGTCTTCCTGACCTTGATGCTGAGGAACTTGCTTTGCATCTGTTTGCATGTCGTGAATATTCATTAAAACACCAGCCTGTTGGAATTGCATTAGCAAAAAATAAGCAGCGTACGTGTTCACAAACCCAACTATGTACTTGAACTATGCATCTGATGGGGTAGACGCTTTCCTTCAAGCTCCAGTGACTACAAACTTTAGTTATTCAAAGAGACATCTTTGAACACCAGCTTTCAATGTTAGGGGTTGAAACTTAAACAGGCAATCAAGCCTGCCCATAAATGGCAGACTGATGCCATCAAAACTGATGAGGGCAGGCAAGTAAGGCACAGCTCAAAATGAGATTCAAGATAAAAGCCCATCCTTTGTGGTTATATTCTTGTTCTATGTTCTTAAACTGAAACCTATTAGGAGGGTATATTCTCCTTATAATGATGAAAGGTCAGTGACCTGATGGTACATGAACTGCTAAGTGTTGTAGCTCCTTTGATATTTTAAGAGTGAACTCTGGCATAAGTTCTGTAAGTGAAGCAGTATCGCTGTGATGCCAATAGTGTTATGTTAGAGCTGCAATGAAGCATTGAGTAAACAGTCTATGAACCTTGTCAGAGTGCAGCAGATCATTCATTCTCCTGAGGCACTACAGTCAGATTCTTTGAGCTGTTCACAGGAGGCTGGCCTCTGCAGTCACCTCTATCATTAGTTGAGATGGCCACTTGTGGCCATCCCTGAGGAAAAGCACTTCCCTCATCTCCTGGACAGCCTTTTGTTGAGGCATCGCTTAAAGGTGTTGTCACTTTTTGCCTGGTCTTTGACATCTCCAGGGGCATTGGAGGATGACAAGCAGAGGTTCGGATGCTCCTGGGCTGCAGAAAGTACTGGGATTTGGGTACTGAATTCAATGATCAGCCATGATCATATTGAATGGCGGAGCAGGCTCGGGGGTGGGTGGGGGTGTTCAAATGGCTTACTCCTGCTCCTATCTTCTAAGTTTCTGTGTTTCTGTATCCAGTTGCCTTTAAAATATGGGGCTTGGATGTCTTTCATTTTCCCAGGCATGAATATACAATGAGCTAAACAAAATGTAACTGAAAACCTAATCCTCCCTCAGTGGCAGTCCCGATTGCTTTTATGCCTAGTTCCGCACTTAATCTGTCACAGAAAATTCCACCCATCACCTTTCTAGTTTAAAACAACTGTTTCTGTTAGCCAATGAGAGATTTCAATAGCCAACATGAAAAAACTCTTCAGCTGCTCAGTTCCCCATACACTTCATCCGAAGCTTAGACATAAACAGTGTTATGAAGGTAAATTATTGGAGAGAATATATTTTATAATGAAAACTAAATCAAAGAATAGAATAGTAAAATTCCTACAATGTGGAAACAGGCCATTCAGTCCACACTGACCCTCTGAACAGCATCCCACCCAGTTCCACCCCCTACACTATCCCTATAAGTCTGCATTTCCCATGCTTGATCCACCTAGTCTGCACGTACCTGGACTGTGGGAGGAAACCAGAGATCCCAGAGGAAACCCACACAGACACAGGGAAAAGGGGTAAACACACAGACAGTTGCCTGAGGATGGAATTGAACCCGGTCCCCAGCGCTGTGAGGCAGCAGTGCTAACCAATATGCCACCCTATATTCATGTTCTGTTCCTTTGACTCTTTTTCAATTTGCCACCTATAAAGTGACCATAGTTCCAGAGGGCCATAGGGCTGCTGTTTCGTTAGAGATGACTGGTGGTGGTTTAAGTTGAGGGATGCCATACCTCAGGTGAGGGGCATGATTCAGAAGGCTGGACTTTCATGGTAACCTCAGGCAGTGGATTGCATTGCAAACCAGCCATTGAACCAACTGAGCTAACTGAGTGCCGAATAAGCCATCAAAGGACAGAGACCATCTACACCTTTAATAAAAAATATTATATTTGCACACAGTTACGCACGTGACTCAACTTTTGAGAGCATAACTGAAGACATGAAATCTTCCGTTAGTCGGCATATTAGAAATGAATTGCAAATATTTTTTCTTTGCATTAGAAAATATTACTTGCATTTTTAAGAATCATAACCTGGTTCAGATTTACTAACAGAGCCAACTTTTTTTTTTCACAGAAGAAACATTTTATGAGATCATGTAGTCCTCCCGGAGGAATAACTTGATTTCAAATGACCAAAAAGAACTTACCTCAGTTGGCTAGAATGTTCACGTGTGAATCAGGGTATATTTCCTTTCTGGCTGAGATATTTTAGGATCTGGCACGTCATCCTACCCGGTAATGGCACTTTGACATTGTTCGGCAAGCAATTGCCGAGGACTGCCTTCAGGCACAGAATTAAAGGAGATGAACAAACCATTTACTTGTGTCATGGTGTGCGCCAGTCAGTTTTTGTGTGGTAAATTTAACATTTTTTTTCAAAAGGAACCAGTTTGCTCATTGAATGTTTGCGATCATTGAAAACTCATCATTAACGTTATTTTTAATCTGGTGATGTGGCTAGTTTTGTGGATCAGATCTATCTTCAATCAGGTTGATTTTTATATGAATATTAAAGATGGTGGAAACTTGATTTACCCACTTGATATAACTCTTAATTAAAATGTCCTAATCTTTTGTGTTGATGCAGTTGGTTTCTCTAGGTTAGACCCTGAAGGATAAGAATAATCCAGTAGAAAGTTTTGACCCAGATCTGATGTTTTGTTAATAATATTTTCTCCATTGCCATTATAACTTGCTGTGCTAATTATTACAATTTTGTCTATGCAAAACCAACCTGATTGTATGATTTAACCATAAAATTCCCAGAATAGCTCAACATTTTCATCCACCATTTATGTACTTCATCACTGATATTTCTACTTGTTCAGGCATTTGCTCAAAATGAAAATAAGGCAACTCACCCTCGCTTAATTACATTTCTATATCTTAAATTATCTGTTTTATCTTTAATTACTTAAATTAATGTTGCAACCTCTGCCAAAAGACTTGTTGCGAGCTTTGTATCTGTGTCCAGAGATGCGTATTTCAGCTAAATGTAGATTTTATGATATGAGTGTAATTGTGTGCTGTTATTTATTTTGCAAATGCTAATCCCTGGAGCCAAGTGAACACCTCCTTATTTGCAGAGCTTAATGTGATTAGACTGTTACTTACTCTAAGGAGAGGATGCTCCATGTAATGTGTTGCACTGTTTGTGTATCCACACAAATGCATAAAAGGGTTTACATTGAGATCCCAGGGATGGAGGCTGTTTGCACAGAGGCCCTGGCTTGTACTAACCATGATTAGCAATGACCAATCACACTTAGCAGTTCAAAACCTGCCATTAAACGAATAGGGTATGTCACAAGGAGCTTGTTCATGTCTTCCCATGCTTCTCACTTATGTGAGCTCTAGAAATTCCACAGAAATCCCAGTGCAGCAATGTTCAACTACATTTTTTTTTCTACTTCCATTTCATGTTTGTGCCTGGGCATTCTCCAAACAGTAAAGAGGAAAATCTCCTTTTATGTCTTGTCAAACAGCAGATTGTGTTTTAATGCACTAAACTAAAGGCAGGAACAAGCTGATGAAGGAGGATGGATACGAAGGGTTTCTGATAGTCCAAAAGGAGCTAAGACCAGTTCTTACTTCACTTTTCTTGTCTTCCCTTTCTCTAATTGTGCTGGACCCAGCTTTCACCCCAACAAATACAGTCAGTTTCCAGCAACTCACCCAATAAGATCAAACGCTGTCTGCCTGCCAGCTTCCACCTTCATTCTAAACCTCTTCCTCATAAGCGTCAAAATCATTCGGTACTTCCACATCAGTGTTTCCACTTCTTAGAGTGTTGCAATTCACAATGTTCCACATCCCAGGTCCTCTCCCTCCCCAGTACTCCTGGACCCTGAACCCTGCTCTGTATTCTTGTATCCTCTTTCAAAGCCCTCTGACTGTAGAATCCCGAGAAGAAATGTCTGTATATCCAGATCTCATGCCATTCCCATTACTTCTGGATCCTTAAGTGTTACAGCAGTGCCTGGAAGCATTAAAAGGAGTCACATTGGCAGTAGCAGTATTAGCATTCAAACCAAGTAGTATAATTGTTAAAACTACCTGTTGAAAATGTATACCATTATCTTGGTAGGTCAGGTTAATTTACATGTTTATCTTTAACTTTTGCTTATTTTGTTACTTCTTTTAGCTTGCAGGCCTGGATTCTATAAAGCTTTTGCTGGAAACACCAAGTGCTTCAAATGTCCTCCACACAGCTTCACCGATGAAGATGCCTCACAAGTGTGTAAATGTGATAAAGGTTACTACAGGGCAGAAAAAGACCCACCAACAATGGCTTGTACCAGTAAGTAATTAAAACTTCCTGATATTTTAGACAAATATCACGATTGAATTCTGGATGTTTTTGACAGCTAAAGATTGGAATCTAAACTGAGGAATGTATAAACTGTTTCACACTTTACACAGACATGGTTCAGCAGGACTCATAATCATACGTAATAGAAATTTCCATTCCTAGATCTGTTATGTTTCTTTTCTTCAGTATCAGCTATGTCTTGGACTGGTGCAGAATAGAGTGGGCTGGTTTAAATTTTTGTCCCACATATCGGAGTCTTCTGCTGCTGTGGTAAAGCAGCCTAAAATGCTCCATTGTAGGATGTGTGGAACTCGGCATGAGTGAATGGACAGGCATCATATTGGTGTCACATGGTGGACATGGGGAAAAGGTCGTGAATACACCTGTTCGTACCGGCCCTGTTTTGTTTTACTGTTGCATTGGCAGTTCCTGTGTACTGGTATAAAGACAGAATCACTTCTCTCTTTACAACCTCAATGTGCCTTAGCATGTGACGGCAGCAGTGGTGGACTGTTCTCTCAGTGAAATGTCCTAAATCCTATCCATCTTGATTGATGGTGGGAACATTCAAGGAAGTCAGTGGCATAGATCCAATTCTCAGGGAAGGACCAAAGCAGAAGTATTAGCACACTCGAGAGCTCAGTGAACACTGTGGTTTGAGACACCCTCCAGAATTGTTTGGCCGGATGCTCAGCATATGGTAGGCGATCTGTGCTGGGAAAATGCTCAGAAAATCCCCAGTACAGACTGCAGGAGGAATCAAGCAAAAGGTTGATGAAAATGAACATAAATGAATTAATTTGCAAGCTTAGTCATTGCAGAATAAAAAGCTTCAGCAGTGGAGAAATCTTTATTGATACCCAAGCCCTTAGAACATGAGAGTGGTCCCAGGCTCTCTCAGTGGGTAAGGTGGCACTTTACTCAATACTGTACCACCTTGGGCCTTGCTTCCATTACATGATAATGACCCAATTAATTTATTTCTATATATAATTGGCAACACTGCTGATGCATTTCTTGTTCAATTCAAGATAGCAGCAGAAATGGCAATATATGAAGATTTAATTAAGGTACTCAATGCCTACTTCATTCTTAGGTGTACTACAATAATTGACAACATTAGGTTTAATGAGTGCATCCAGGAGCCTGGAGACAGTATGGATTATTTTATAAATAGCCTCTATTGATTTAGGAGACCACTGTTACTATTGGATCCTATAAGCTAGTTATCTGAGACTGTGTAATAGTCATCATTCTGCATGAGGCAATATCTGTGCTTTTACAGCCCTGAGAGGACCTCATGGTTGTCTAAAGATGTTCAACTTACCCGGCAGGCTGTAAGTCCCTTTTCCAGGGTGACAAAGAATTTGCCTGGGAGCCCACAGATGAGCTTGACAGTTTATTTTCCGCAAGCCAGCCAGGAATGTGTAAATCAAAGCTATGTGAGGAGGGCACTGTCACCACCATTGCTCTTTGTTCATGATGTGATTGGCTGGAAAACTTCCAGCCTTTAATGCTGTGTACCACGTCTGCACAAAATGCATTATTTCAGAATTATCTGCAGCAGTAGCAGAACAGTCCCTACAGGGAGACAAAATAGCAGGAACAAGTCACACCAACCCTTCCTATCCAAGATGAAGACGATCTTTATTTTAGGCAATAGAACTTCAAGATGACTTAGATGTTTCTGATATTGACAAGGAGTCTCATTTTTAAATTGGATAATAAGGCCAGTGTCTTCAACCCTCTAGCATCTGACTGAGAGGTGCAGGAGGTATTTCTGTGATGGTCAAGAGGAACTATGTAACACACTGCTGTAATGGACACTGGTGTGTGAACAGTCTGCATGTTATTTCTGATCAGCAGTATTCTTTATTGAATGGAGCAGCTGATTCACCCTGACCCCTCTTTACTCAGCAGCAGACAACGATGATCTACCCATCTTTAATGACACTCTAATCATAAGACTGCAGGTGATTTCTTTTCTGTATCTTTCATTCCCTTTTCAGGACAGGCTGCATGCAGCAAATCATGACTGCACTAGGCCTGTCTGTGACCAGCTACAAAATGCCATGTTAGACCTGCACTCGCTCCATGATGATAGCGTGTCGAAGAAAGAACAAGCCACGTCGATGATACCCATTTTCCTATGAGTGAAAGATCTCCAAAGTGTGAGGGCAATAAAGATGCTACATTTCCCAATACAGGCCTTAAAGGTTCTCCCTAGGCTCCATGACAGAGTAAGAAGATGATTCAAACTATAGCAGCCTCTTGTCTCTTCTTTGTCGTTTCTTCCTGAGTCCACTCTTCATTGTCATTACTTTGAGGCCAGCATCCTGGTACCCCCAGGCTCTAGTAGTCCTCCCCACTTTCACACCGAGCCTGCTCAAGGTTCCGCCTTCCTACCAGTGGAACATGAGCTACTAGTGTCCCTCTTCCTCACAATGAGCTGAGAACAGAGTCAAAGAGAGTTTTTCTTGGAGTGAGCAAGGAGATGAAAACTTGGAGCAAAAGAAATGTTAATAGTTAAACAACTGTTTGAAGGCAGATGCATCTCTCCCTATACAACCACAGTACGTCCAATTAGACAGCGGGGTTATGGGGGAAGGGCATCACTGTTGCCAATTCCATAGAGCAGCACACTGACTTGATCATTGTTGGGCTCTGAGCAAGTCTAGAGGTGGTCCAGTATCGATTGAAGTGGTAATGCCAGTTGTTTGAGTGTGTGGCTTGTTTGAGGCCTTTTACCTTGTTTAGGGTGTTTGGAAGGGTTCTTTTTTTGAACATAGTCATTCATGGAATGTGGGCATCACTGCTTTTTGTTTTTATGTTATTTAGTATTTATTGCCAACCCATAATTGCCCAGAGGGTAGTTAACAGTCAACAACATTGCTGTGGGCCCAGAGTCACACGTAGACCTGACTTGTTAAGGACAGCAGATTTCCTTCCCTAAAGAACACAAATGAACCCAGAAGGGGTTTTACCACAACCTGCAATGATTACATGTTTTCCATTAGTTTTAGGATTTTATTCTAGATTATACTGAATTGAAATATTACCATCTGCCACAGTCGGTTTTGGACCCATGTCCCCAGGAACATTCATAGAACATAGAACATAGAACAATACAGCACAGTACAAGCCCTTCAGCTACGACTACCCCACTGATAAGGCTTTTCTCATCATTCTGTTTGCTTCTAATTAGCTGTCATGGAAATCCAATGGTGATTAGTCCCTCTGATTATTGCTGTGACAAGTCTGCTTTGACAGGTCACCAACTTTCCATTTTCCCGTCTTTATCAGCATTGGCTAGGTTCCTCAATAAGTATTTCACAAATGACTGCCTTCATGTGTAGATATCATGATTAGGTTTCGGTTGCTTTTGACAGATGAGGACCGGAAACTGTATCAATACATCCTAACAAACGTTTAGTAACTGTTTACAAATACACCGTTCAGAAAGATGCCATTTAAACCCTCTTCCCACAGGTCCAAGTTTCATGTGCTCTGACATTATTACTGATGAGCTCTGGCTCTAAATCTAACAATGATTAAAAACCGAAAGAACTGCAGATGCTGTAAATCAGGAACAAAAACAAAGTTGCTGGAAAAGCTCAGCAGGCCTGGCAGCATCTGTGGAGGAGAAAACGGAGGAAGGGTTCTGAGGAAGGGTCACCGGGCCCGAAACGTTAACTCTCTAACAATTATTAACCTCTTATGGCACAAACCTGGCTTTAAGCTCTATATAGCCATGTCATTAAAGTGGTTAAAATGTTTTAGCTGTATCACAAATAGAAGAAAAGCATAACCTAGAATTCATGACAGAAACTAGTCACAATATTGTGTAGACACTTCTGGGTTATGGATTAGGATGAATTTAAACTTTATTTAAGTAGATGCAATTTATTTATTTTACATGTTTAAACATTCACGGTGCTCACCAAAATCTGGGATGCAGTCCTGTGGGATGGCAAATATTTCTTCTTAATATACAGAAAAATGTCCGTTTCTTCTAAGGTATGATTTATTTAAGATCTCCCTAAAAATGTACATTTGGTAATAATTATTGTCAAATTGTGAACAATTTTGAGTTCAAAACATTCAAACACCAGGTACAAAATTAAGGTGGTCATGTGCATTTTGGGGGGACATTCTATCCAAGAGTTTGTTTTCATTCAAATCATTGTCAACGGGAATTAACCACTCTTGGAATCAAAAGAACCATTTTTTGACTAATTTCTTTCTCAAAATCCCTTCCTCATAAATGATATCAAAAATCTATGAGCAGAATCTTCCCTCGGGGTTGGCAAGCTCAAAGGCAGGTAAAACACTGAGTCATACCCAATCATACTACCACCTCACCACTACCAGAATAATATCTAGGTGAGGTACAGTACCAAAATACACAGGAGGGTGGGGGAAACCTTTGAATCCACCTTTGAAATCTACCACAGCACCAAAGAAAATTTAATCGTGGGGGCAACCAATTGGAGAAAGTCACTGCTGTAAGCAGAATGGACAGAAATTTTGATGAGGAGAGAGATAGCAGGAACTGCAGATGCTGGAGAATCTGAGATAACAAGGTGTAGAGCTGGATGAACACTGCAGGCCAAGCAGCATCAGAGGAGCAGGAAGGCTGACGTTTCGGGCCTAGACCCTTCTTCAGAAAAAATCTTGAAAAAGTTTTGATGTCCTGCTCATCAAGCTGGTTCTGTCCCATTCTTGCTGTAGATAGGCTCACTAGGGAACCAATTAGAGTGAAGTGTCAGTGAGGTTTTTGTGGATGCTTTGATAATAGACATTGTAAGTCAGTTGTTAAATTTAAATCAAAGATTTGTGTTGTGCATAGCGAATGGCAATGCATTATCTCTGACCTTAGCAGACTGTGAAAAGTGTATGTTTAAGATGAAACCTTTTGTGCTTAAATGTTACAGTTACTTTGGAAAAAAGTAATATCTGTTGTTAATTTCTGCCTGTTGTCTTGTACC